AAGGAATAGTTGGAAGAAGTGGAGGGGGTGGTGTAGCAAGTGTTAACAAAGGAGGACAGGCTGGTGGAGAGGAAGGATTTGTTGGAGTTAAAAGAGGAGGCAGCTGACACGAGGAAACAGCAGATGTTTGAGGTAAAGGGGAAGCAGAGGAACTATGAGACGGGGACTCAACAGTAGGTGCAGACAGACCAGAATCAATATCAGGTTCTGGCTGGGGTAGTTCTGATGTTAATGGACTTGGGCTTCTATTCACATCTGGTGTGCTTTCTGTAGCTACATCCGTTCCATTATATTCATTCAGCAGAACTTTTTGTAACATGCATGTGGTTGGTTTCTTTTTTTTAATGCCACTACATGTTGGTTGAACTGAATTATTTTCTTTGTATTCCTTAACTTCAGTGTCACTAAATGGCTTTTTATGCACACTTAGATCTAATACGGATTCCCAAGGAACCTGAGTTTGGCTTTTGACATCAGACCTTTGTTTTACACCACTAGATAAATCCAATGGCTGCTGGTTGCACACATTACCAAAAGTTGGAGTTGCTGTCCATTCCTTAGATATTTTATAGTCTTCAAAGCACAGAGGACTCACAGTCTCTTTTTCCTCCCTCCCACATAAGCTCCATGCAGGTGAGCTGCTGTGGCTTTCTAATTTTGGCATCTTTGAACCTAGAATGGCATCATTCCACATGGTTTTTCCATCACCTTGTTTGCCAAAGTCTCGAAGTGCTGGACTGTGCTGTGGAGAACTAGGAGGAGAGCTGGTTCTTCTTTTAAACCTACTAGATACTGAAGGCAAAATGGGTGAAGATGTAGCCAAAGGACCTAATTTAGGGATTTCACTTGCTGTGGCTGATGGAGTTATCTTAGTACTGTCCTGTGTCTGAAGAAGTTGTTTTAACTTGGACGACAAATAAACACTTTTTTCTTTATGAAAAGGTAAGTTCTCAGGGGTTGAAATGCTAAGAGGAAGATTTAATGAACATGAAGGGGTTATAGGTTCTGGATCTATTTCCGTTTTTATTTTAGGTAAAAGAGGAGGGCTGGCAGTTCTCCTCTTCTTGGATTCACTGCTTCCACTGCTAGAAGGCTCCTTAGGAAGATCAGTCATGTGTGTTTGCGCAGACTTTAAATTTTGAGAAATTTCCACTGTGACGGGAGTAAGTAAACAATTTAGTCCATAGAGGTCTGCAGAATTGGATTCCATCTCAATCACGTCACAATTGCTAGTACTACTGTTGGACTGAATTTTACCATCAATATAGTAATTTAAATTTTCTGAGATATTGCTAGAAATATCCATAATATAAATGTCATCAGCTTCACCATCCTCTTCTAATTCTGTACTTGCTATATACACACTCTGGGCTGGCTGGGCCTGCTCTGTTTGAAGTTGAGGTTCTTCAAGAATGAATCCTTTTCTCCTAACACCTTTAGGCATTAGATGACGCTCATGAACCCTACGCTGGTGCCTACGCATATTAGTATGAGTTCCAAAAACCTTTTTACAATATTTGCAAGGATGCAATTCTTTGGGTTCCTTGTTCTCCTCAGCAAGGGAAGAATTTGACATTTCTTGGGAGACCTTCTCGGAATCCAAGATAGTGAAGTCTTCCACAAGATTGGAAATGTTTGATTCATCTTTAAGACCATCATCTGTAAATGTCTGGGCATCAGCAACATCATCTGACTGCTGGGCTGAAGTTAGTGTTAAAAATGGTTTCCTTTTTGGCCCTGCTTCATGCCGCCGCTCATGCCTTCGCCGGTTAATTTGAGTGCCAAAAGCCTTTCCACAGTATCGACATTTGAAAGCATGATTGACAGCAGATATATGAATATGCATATGGCGTTCAAGTCCTTGCTTTGTTGTAAACTTCCTCTCACAATGCTGACATGGAAACATAAATGCTTCCTGGAGGTCACCATTGGATTCACCTTTTTCTTTAGGAATTTTCAGAACCGGTGTCATCTCCAGGGAGTTCTCTGGAGATTCTTCTGATATGCTTTTTTGTTCCTCCACAGATTCTAGCTTTTCTTCATATACAGTTGTAGGCTCTTCTCCAGGATTTTCTTCAGGAAAATTAACATCTTCTACCTCCTCTTCCTCTTCATCCTCTTCCTCCTCCTCCTCCTCCTCCTCCAAATCATCTGATCCACAAGTTATTGCTCCCGGTTGGTCTTCGGGCATTGTTTGTGGCTCAGAGGAAAGATTGGGGATCATCAGTTTTGGAAGAACATCTTGATTTACCATCTCCTGAATCACAGCTGTTTGTTCCAGTGACAGCACAGCAGAAACAGATGGCTTTTCATCTTCCTCTTTACAGCCTAAGAAAGAAAAGGTAGAGAAAGAAAAGCATTAGGGAATTTAGTAAATTTTCCACAATATTATAATCCCTTTCTTTAGTCCTGTTTTCTGTCCACCATCCAACAGCACTCTCAATATTTATGAGCACTGGAATGCCACTGTTTTCTTTTCTTAAGCTGTTGTATTTAGAACAAAATTGTATTCACAAGTCTTCTGTCTGCAATTTTTGGCCAACATGTAGGGACTGCATTTCTTTTCTTAAGATGTTGTATTTAGAACAAAACTGTATTCACAAGTCTTCTGTCTGCAGTTTTTGGCCAACATGTAGGGACTGCATTCAATTCACTGAGAAACTGAGAATTACTGCTAACACTGTGACCAGCTAAAACTCTTCCGAGAGAAAGAGAGAGAGAGGGTATTGGTACATTTCACTGTGTAAATCTCCATATTAAAACAAAAACCCTCAGAAGAAATTAATTGCTCTCCCTCACCATTTTTAAACTACAGAAACAAGACATTAAATTTGAACTCTGCCTGGACACACATCTGAAAAGTCAGTGAAATAAACTTCAGAGTTTGGCTGAAAACTAAAAACTTACTTTTAATCTTGTTTAGAATACATCAATCTGGGTTGGTTTGTTTTCTTAACACACCGTAAAACATCTTATAGGATCCAATTTGGTATTTTCCATTCCCTAAATTCTGTATCCTGAGTAGCTGTAGAATCCACACAGGCACAGCCTACTCTCTTCTGAATTAGACACACCATGAGCATCATTTGCTGATGTAAAGTGGCTTTGAAGGCCCCTCTCTGAGTGCCACTTTGATCTACCTGCCTTCAGACATCAATACATACTGCTGACAGGAAAGCAGCTATCCTGCTCATGATGTGCACTAGTACAGTGTGTGTCAACCTTTATTTATAAAGTAAAATACCCCCAGTACCTACAGTTTTCAGACACACAATTTTTTTTTCTACTGTTGCAATACATTTGTTTGAACAACTTCATCGTAGCCGGGTGGGCGATGACATTTTTGGGTGTAAAAAGTACAAAAATAATAAAGTGCTGTAAAATGTAAAACAAAAATTCAGTTTTCTCCAAATGTCAGTTGTGCTGACGTATCCCCCCAGATTTTTCTCGAGTACCCCTAAGGGTACTTGTATCACTGGTTGAGAAACACTGCACTAGCAGAGTATGTCAGCAGCAGCTAAAGCAAACATTCCTCCCCCATCTCCTATATATGTCTAGCTTGGGAATGCTGAGGTAATGGGGGCAGGTGTCAGATTCCCAGGATTACTATTTTCAGTGGGTTGGTCAAAGGGCAATTGGAGGAAAAGATCTTGAATGAAGCCAGTAGTTACATGCTGCTCTTACCTCCTTCAATTATACCTCCCACTGGTCCAACAACAAAGCCAGGAAAGACAGACTTTACATTCCTGATATTTCTAAACCAAAAAACAATCAGGAAAAAAGTCTTAAAGATCCTTCAGGCTTTTAATATGTATATCATAGAGAGAAAAAGGGCAGAAGCCAATTCCAAAAAATATGCTGTGCAGGTCACCCTTAAAATAGATTTTATCAATTGTTTTTGTGTTAGTATTTATAGAGGTGGTATTTTATTATGTTTGCATTATACACACTTTGTTTTATTCTGCTTTACAGCAACCCAAATGGCTGGTCAAAGGGCTAGAGCAGCCAGTAACTACAAAATAAAATTATTATACCATGACTCCCAAAGTACTGTGTCTTGATCCTATTTGTAAGTTTCAGAAGACTTAATAAAGAAATCCCTATTTACAGGCAGTCCCCGAGTTACGCGGATGCAACTTATGTCGGATCCGCACTTACGAACGGGGCTTTTCTCGCTCCGGAACTCGCCGGCGGCAGGACCACCCAGATGCGCAGTGGTCCCGCCACCGCGTCCTCCGGGGTGAGAAAAGCTGCTCCGGGTGTCCCTGGTCTGCTGGGGGGATCCCCAGCAGACCAGGGAAACCCGGAGCAAAGCCGCAGAGGCGGGGGGGCCACGCCCCCGTGGCCTTGCTTGGGGGGGGCCC